CGTCAACTCGTCTTGTTGTCTGTCACACTGTCTACCGTCACGCACCAACCGCCAAGACAAATTCCTTGTATGTTTGACATATTTTGGCAATAAACGTTTCCTGATTCCTGACGGGGGGAAACGTGGTCCTCATCTTCAGAAACACCCGGTGGAGTTACCAAGCGTCTCCATCAGTCCGATGTTCATTTAATAAAACATACCAGAGGAACAGACGTAATAATATCAATCAAACCCACACACCTCCCTCGCCAACACCTGTCTTTTACTGCGCGACGCCCCCCCCCCGTCCCCCGTCTGCGGCAGAGAGAAATAAGTGGATGAATAATTACAGGTACAAACACCTGGGGGCCGTCTCGAGGGGGTTTCCTCCTCTTCTGATATTCTTTGAAACATTTCCGCCTCTTGAAGTCGTCGTCTGAACGGTTTCTCTTTGGGCGCCTTCAAAGCCCCCGAGGACGCTCTTATGGTCATTTGTGTTTTAACCCCCCCCATGATGGCCTCTGTACCTCGAGCCCCCCCCCCCCCCCTCTTTACTATCGCTCCGCTTCCCACTTCGATTTTGACCTCTCGCTCATATTTCCTGTTCCTCTGCAGCGACGGGCCGCGGACTACCTGAGCATGACCACCTGTGAGCGCACACGCACACACACGCACGCGCACACACGCACACGCACACACACACACACACACACACGCACACACACGCACACACACGCGCGCGCACACACGCACACCCAGAAAACAAAGCGGATGAAGGGTTTCTTTCAGAGCTCTGGGTGACGGGAGAAGTGGTTTTATTACTTCTGAAGGGCGGTTCTAAGTTTTTAATCCTGCTGTGGTCGAGTTGTTTCATTTCTTAATACAAAACAATACAAAACATTGTGCGCTTCCATAATCTCGACAAAGGGAAACGGGTATTTCGCCCGGCGGCTCGGCGGCTTTGCTGTCCGGTAATCAGGCCGATTTCACTGCATAATCCGAGACTTACACGAGCATAATCTCACACTTACACGCGTCACGACAAAGGCGAGCGCACACTCTGCCAGCCGCCGTGTCCACAGCGAAGCGCCCCCCCCGGGAGGAGGGTCCCCTCTAAAGGTCATCTTGTCACCGCACGAGGAGGCCGACGTCGCTGTCACTTTTATCTCTTCGCGCTTTAACGCTCTGCATTTGTATTCGCCATAAAGTCCTTCGATGTTTATTCGGTCGGTTTCCTTCTGGTTAAAGCTGCTTTTCTTCAAGGCCTCTTAACTGTGAGCGGCCTTATCGTAGCCAGTCAGAGGCAGGGAGGCCTCTGGGTCTCTGTAAGGGGGGGGGGGGGGGGGATTAGGGAGGCCTCGGCCTGTGTTGCTGCCATTGTTTACCCAGAGACCAGGGGCTGGCTGAACAACCCCCCCCCCGTCAGCACCGCGCCACAAAAGGAAACAAGGAAGTGGAAAGATCCTCGAGACGCCTCGCGGCTCCCTTGATCTCGGGAGGATCCACTTTGTGTTATTTGGGAGATGCGGGGGGGGGGAGGGAAAAAGACAGAGGGGGGAGGGAGGGGCTGATAGCAACAACAGCTGATTTATGAATGGCTACTAGGAAGAGGAGGAGGCTTATAAAAATGTTTATAGGCCAAAAGACGAGAAGCTTTAACCCCCCCAATCTAATGATGATAAAAAACACGCTGTTGGATTGTGTTGTCAAACTGCTCTTTCAGCGCACAAAGGTTTGTGAGGAGACTTTATGAAAGTAGAGACACTTGAGAGATGACTATTAGAAATGACACCCCCCCCCCCTTCCATCCCCATATGTCAAAGCTGCCACTGCAGGAAATCCCCCCCCCCCCCCCCCCCCCTCGGCCCCCCCTCCCCAAACCACACCGGGCTGGTAAACAGCTGCTTGTAACAGTCACTGAACCGCTGGTCCAGAAGGCGGCTCTGGGACAGCGGCCTGGGACAGCGGCCTGGGACAGCGGGTCATTGGCCCCTTCAGAATAAAAGAACCGTTTGCGTGGAGAGCAGAAGAAGAAGCTGATTGGATACAACATACATGTACACGTCTGTACACAACACACGGTAACACAACCCCTCTTCTGCCATTCACGCTCTGACCATCGATGAAAACTTCTGCACAAACATATAACCAAGACACACACACACACCAGCTACACACAATGTGTGTGAAGGGGGCGGAGCCAAAGAGAAGAGACGACCCTTCAATGAACAGGCCGCTGGTGATACACTGCATTACACACGCACAATAACACGCACAACCACAGTAACATACACAAGAACACGCACAATCACAAGAACATACACAAGAAGACGCACAATCACAAGAACATACACAAGAAGACGCACAATCACAAGAACATACACAAGAACACGCACAATCACAAGAACATACACAAGAAGACGCACAGTAACACGCACAACCACAGTAACATACACAATAACACGCACAATCACAAGAACACACACAAGAACACGCACAGGCCATACAGCAAACAAAGCACACCAGTACACACACAACCCTGCAGCAAAAACATGTAAGACATACACACAGACACACACTGCTCAAAGTGTGATGAACTCAAACAGAGCGCAGAACCAACGCGCACAGAACCAACGAGCACAGAACCAACGTGCGCAGAACCAACGCGCACAGAACCAACGAGCGCAGAACCAACGAGCACAGAACCAACGAGCACAGAACCAACGCGCACAGAACCAACGAGCGCAGAACCAACGAGCGCAGAACCAACGAGCGCAGAACCAACGAGCACAGAACCAACGAGCGCAGAACCAACGAGTCTTTTAATCGACGTGCACAGAACCAACGAGCACAGAACCAACGAGTACAGAACCAACGTGCACAGAACCAACGAGCACAGAACCAACGAGCGCAGAACCAACGAGCACAGAACCAACGAGCGCAGAACCAACGAGCACAGAACCAACGAGCGCAGAACCAACGTGCACAGAACCAACGAGCACAGAACCAACGAGCACAGAACCAACGAGCACAGAACCAACGAGCACAGTGTGGTGCAGACAAAGCTCTCTGGATCCCATAAAGCTCTGATATCTCCGTTAATGGGAGAAGTCCCATGAAATGCTGTAATAGGGGTATTATCGCTGAATGGGGGGGGGGGCACTTTGCAGCGGCGGAGATTAGAAGCTTCTTTTTAAACTGGAGGTGTTAACATTAACACCAGAATAATACCATTTGTTTTCCTGCCTCTTTCAGACGAGCCTTTTAAATCACATGCTAATCTCTTCAGAATAAAAAGCTTCATCGGCCGCGTTTCTTCTGGTTTTTGGGGCCGGTTCTGTGAGACGCAGCCCCCCCCCCTCTAATCCCTGGCCCGGGTATCATCTTCACATTATTAAATGGCGGTACCGCTCTCATCACATGCACCCCTTCTGTCATATGGATCGACTGGGCGTCAATTCGTTAACAGATCAGTGTCTATAAATCGTACAAGAATACAGTTAGAACAGAACTAAGCAAATATTAGATCATCTGACCCAGAGTTCGACGTTTTTCTGCTGGTTTAGTTCAGCTGTTGGAATCACAGTAAAAGCACGTGAGCTGCAGCTTCATTTCTTTATTTATTCACCTACAGAATATTTTAATATTTAAACCGATCCCTCTCAATGTCCGTTTATATGGATTAGAAGTGATCTGAAGCAGAGGTTTGTGTGGACGCTGTTTGGTGTGCTCAACTTTAAAAATGAATAATTACAATGAAACAGATTGATACGGATTCATTATTTCAGAATGAACACAATCTCTGCGCTGCATCAATACGTCTTTCCTTAAATCCAATAGAATCTAGATCTTTATTCCAGGATGTTTGAGACAATGAGCTTGTATTAATTTTGGCTTTACAGATAAACTTCACCCTTACATCTACTTTTCACAGCCTCGTTACACTGAAAACGGCTTTCGTGAGAAAAGAATCATTTCTATTTCACAAATTAAATGATTTCTTAAGAGCATAATTATCAAAGACCCCCCCCCCCCCCCTCAGGGTTGCACACACACGGAGAAGAGACCCGAGTTACATTATCACCACAACACCAAGACAACACACGACTCCCAGACCTGTAGTTTCCGATCCCTCCATATCCATAATCATACCCCCCCCTCTAAAACACTATGCTCAGCGCTTTCAAGTGGCATGTAGACGGGGGCCCGATACCGCGATGCCGCCTCGCAACCGGCGGCTAATTACAAGGAGAGCAGCAACAAGTGAGCATTGTGTGGAGTCTCCGAGACACACGGGGAAAGAAAGTGCTCTTTACCCCCCCTCCCCATCCCCCCCCAACAACAACACGCCGTGAGGGGCCGTGCGGGTGGGATTCCAGGGTAACATATGAAGAACAGGAGCGACGTGTCCCTGGTGTGATTCTGCTGGAGGATGGCGTGCACGAGACGTCAACACTTATTGCATGTTATAACACAACATATAAAGCCACATGTCGTCACGCAGGAGTAACAGATGTCGTCATGACGTCGTCATGACATCACTGACCACGTTCCAACAGCTTCTTTTAGGAACGGAGCGGTTCAACAGTAAATCAGAGTTTGTGACGGTGATGTCAGAGTCGACTCTCATGTGGAAATATTATATATATATATATATATAATATATTAAAGTATTTGAAGGAGGAAATGTGGTTTGAATATACTATATACAAAGACCATTTATCCACAAAGGACCCGATAAAAACTAAAAATGGTGTAATGATTTAAAACAAAATATTACAAAAGCATTAAAAAAGCCTGCTGATTAAAGTGAAAAATGACTTTATGACTTTATCCAAAATCAGCATAAAAACGCTTCAGGCCCCAAAAATAAAAAACAGCCCGCCGGCGGCCACCAGAACGGGACCGACCACCCGAGTCTGCGTCTCTGTTTGGAGCGTCCTCGGCCACGACAGGCGGGAAAACAACCAGCGAGGGGGGGGAGGGGGGTTGCGGGCGTAGGAGGAGAGAGATGGACTCACGGATGGAGACACGGAGCTGTTGGGGTGGTAGGGGTCCGGCAGCATGAGGAACGGATACCCCTGGTACGCCGCCGCCGTCTTGTACATGCCTCCATCCTGCTGCTTGGACACTGAGGAACAACAAGTCACACGGTCAGTCACCCCCGGGGGGGGGGGCGCGGCGGGGTCACGGTCTGCGGGAGGTTCGAGTCATTTGGAGTCCTGCAGGACGGACGCGAGGACAGTAAAAAAATAAAATAAAGTGATACTTACTCTCAAAACACTGCGATAACATGCGTGCGCCACGGAAATAAAACAACGCAAAATAAAAGCGTGCTCACACACACGCACACACGCGCGCGCTGCTCAGTGTTGTGGTGACTTCATGTTGTGTCCCTGCGTGAGCTCACTACAAATCTACAAACAAAAGCGTGACAAGCATCACCTCGCCAGAGAGGCGTGAACTCCTGTATGTGTTAATTTAGATCCCTCGTTAGGCCCCCTGGGGGCCAGCGGGGGTCACACCCGCCTCCGTACGACACACAAAACGTTTTAAGGGGCCAAAACTTCTCGTAAACCCGTCGCCGGAAAAACAAATGCACATTTGAGGAAGATTTTCCCACAACGTTCGGGGACGAGCCGGAATGGGCTCCAGGAGAGGAGCGGCGCTGTGTGTGAGGGCCCTAATGGAGGGTTAGCTCGGCTCCTTTTGGCCCGTAGACCTTAAGAGAAGTAATAATAAACCTCTCAGGGCCTGGTTGACCCCACTTCAGCACAAGAGTGGCTCAGATATATATATATATTTAGATGCACAATCAAACAGGTAGATAGAACACTATGGTTTGACACAAGGAAGAGCAAACATTAAAGTTTATAAGACGACTAATTGGATGCTTTTCACGCTGCAGGAGATATTTCAGAGTCGCTTGTGAGCACGTCTCTGCTAAACACAATGTCACGTTAAAAAGAGAGATTCTTTGTGATCTGTGAGTCGATCACTAACCGACGCCGCACGGGGATGGAGAGGCTCCGTTAGAGGACAAACCTCCTCTGCCGAGAGCACCTGAACGCACCTCTGCAGCGTCGCTTTTAAAAACACGTGTTTTCGTGCTTACCTTGACACCGTAGCGTGTGTGTGTGTGTGTGTGTGTGTGTGTGTGTGTGTGTGTGTGCGCGTGTGTGTGTGTGTGTGTGTCGTACAGAAGTCTCTCTTTCTGCCTCTTACCTCCGTCGTGATGCTGCCGGTGTTTCTCCGCGAAGCTCCGCTGCTCGCCCTGCTGTCCCCGCCGGACCGCCTGGAAGACACCGACAACAGACACGCAGGGTCACACAGTGTCTCCCCCCCCCCCCGCCAAAGGGCCACGGAGTTTCTCCCCCAAAGGGCCACAGAGTCATTTTCTCCCCCGAGAGTAACAAAAAGAACCCGCCACACGAGCGCTGCTCCTCCGCACTTTGTAGCCGCTTCGCTCCCCAAACGGCTACAAAGTGTCCACGAGCGAGCGGCTTCTTCTTCTTTTTTAAATATTTCTACCGTGAAAACCAGCTCGCCGCACGCGCACACAGAGACACACACACGCGCGCGTCCGTTCCAACGTACCGGCGCGCCGGGGCTCTGGCTGCTCTCCGACTCGTTGACCAGGGAGGACTTGAGGTCGGCCAGGTCCCGCTCCGTGAAGGCGTTCTCCGGGATCTTCTCCTCCTGCTCGCCCTCGTCCTTGAAGGCGATCATCTCGTCGTTGGCCCCCAGGTCGTCCCCGCCGCCGCCGCTCAGCTGAGGCATGTCCGCGTCCCTCTGCCGCGCGCGCGAGCGTGCGAGAGAGCGCTTTTTTTTAAAGAAGGGGACGAAGAGATTTATATGCAAAAGAAAGTGTGGATGAAGAAAAGAGCGAAGCGAGTTCCGTCCTGTTAAATGTCCTCAGACGAGTGGACCCCCCCCCCCGCGCGCCTCGTACCGCAGAGAGAAAAGTTGCGCTGTGTCTCCCCCCCCCCCCCTTCTGGCTGGTCGCGCGCTAATGTTTCCCTACAACAGCAAACAGCTCATTTGAGCTCGAGACGGAGGCGAGGAGGCTCCACGATCAAAGGGCGCCGCCCGGATGACTGACAGGTCCGATGACTTGTTGGGGGGGTTCGTGTGCGCGATGCCGAGCTTCTTAAAGAGACATTCCCTCCCCGGGGGGGTCTTTAAGTTCACGCGACGTGGTCGTCGCGTTGCTTTGCGTTACAGAGAAGCTGCACGTGTTGATGATTTATCGGACAATTTAGTTTAAAAGTTATTTTCACTTAAGTCAAGTTCAGTTATGTTGAGTTTATTTGAGTTAAATTACGTTAAGGGAACTACGTAAATTACGTAGGTCACTTTACGTTTAGCTAAGTAAAGTTTGGTTAAATTAAGTTAGGTATAGTTTAGTTTGTTTAATTAAATACGGTTTATTTTATTTTATTTAAATGTATATGACTATGCAATGTGCTGATTTACAGTATCTGTCCACATGAAGCATAAACTATAATAAAATATTTATTTGGGGTTTAACATCGACCACAACAGTAACAGGTTCTAGAAATAAATGCATTCAACAATAATGGTACTTAAATTAAATTTATACACATTTTACCCAAGTAACATTTCACATTAAAAAAATTCAAGAATTTAATGTGGCCTATTTATTTACTTCAGTAGATGAAGAAAATATCCATATCTTATTTTTAAAAGTTTGAGGTATTTAATTTAGTTTTTAGTTTTTGTCTTATTTTACAATATAAATGATAACCACGACCTCATTGCCTCCTTCAAGCAAGTTTTTTAGCATCAAATTACCTCCAAATGGCCTTTGAGGAACTAAAACTGAATTACATGCAAATGTAATGAAGACATCTCCTCTAATATGGAGCCAGTTCATTATTTTTCATGTCCCATCTGCATATTCTGGTCACACCAATGCACATTCTCCAGGATTTTAATTAAGTACATTACAAAGTTATTTAAAGATGCATGAATATTAGTTGTGAAATCGTAAAACGTAGATTCCATTTATCAGCTTAATTAGCATGTTGCAAACACACTTCTGCATTTGAGTGCTTATATTTTTTAATCACACTTTGATTGATGAATGTTGTGCATCAGCACACATCTGTATTGATGAATACATGCATCGATATGACGCACCATAGTGTAGTGAGAGCTTCTAAAACTCGTGATGCGATAAACTGCAAAAAGTGCAACGCAAAGCACGTGACTTTTTCTTTATGTTGCCCGTTGTTTTGCTAAAGAGACGGCCTATCAGCTCCCACGTGTGCACTAGGACCCGCCCTCTCCTCGCTGTGATTGGTTGCCCCTGAAACGCGTGTCCGGTCATGAGCTCTGGATTTAAAGGTTGACCTTTCCGTGGTTCCTCTCCACGGCGCAACTCTTTTAAGAAGGCCGGCATCCCGCCTGGTATCAAACGCTGTTCTGTCGTCATCCACCTCGTCAATATCTGGGAATCACGCGTTGCGAGTTCTCCTCCCGTCAGTCAGGGAACAGAAAAAAGCTGCAAAATGTGGGACGTTTTGTGAAGGAGCGTCCTCTGGCTCGGCGTGCTCATCAATAACAGATGCACTGCATGTTTCAGACCGGCCCTCACAACCCCCGCAGCTCGTATCAGTCTCCAGAAACAGCAGAAAGGGTTTGCTGCTGCGACGGCTTGATTCGAGGAGGAGAAGAAGAAGGAAAACAGAGTTCAAAGATGTATATTTGAAGTTCTGATGTCTTATCAAACTCGTAGCCCCCCCTCCCCTACCCCCCCTCGTTGCCGATGCATTTTTAATGCTGGTACAGTAGCAGAGCTGGTCTTCAGAGTTTTTAATTGAGAAATATTTATACACTCCCATGCTGAGACTTAATACTTGACTTAATCTGAGTCGGTTGCCTTGAATGAAGATGGTGATCCACAGCTGGGACACGGAATTCAATACAAACACAAAAATGGGCCCCGTATTTGCATAAAACTGCATATTTATACAATATCGTCGACGCATATTAATAAAAAGATTAAAATGAGCGTTTTTAATGTATGCAAATCTAAATTATAAATGAGTTGTTTAAACTCCTTGTTTATTCGCCTTGATTAAATATAGACAGATGTTTTTTTTTCCGCAGAGACGACGCCTCGTGCGATCTCGACGCACTTTCCCGTGGATGTCTGCGCCGTTCGTCACATGGGTCCCCAGGTTCACCTCAGGCCACATGCTGTCTGCCCCCCCAACACACACACACCTTTCACACACAGACACACAAAGCAAGAATCCAGAAATAAACACACAGTTTCTGCACACACGCCGTCTCTCTCAAATACTTTGAGGCACTCTGACCTACAAATACTCTCTTTATACATGTCACACACACACAGACACACACACACACACACACTCTCTCTGTATTGCTGTGAGCTGTTTGATTATTCTCCTTGGATCAGGCTTGTGGTTTGAGTCCACACTGCACCATTCGTCCAGAGTTTTTGGGGACAAACACGCTCACGCACACAGACGCACACGCACACGAACACACATCCTGAGCGTCACCTTCTACCTCAAACCCCACTGACGTCACACGGGAAAGGCCAAATAAGGGCACACGAGCAGATAGAAAAGATAAGCCGCCCACACGGAAGCAAAGAAGGCAGAAACCGGCTGGATGCAACCAGAAAGAAACTGGAGGGTCGTGAGCTAAAGCTGCATTATGTGTAGTGACCAGCAGGGGGCGACTCCTCTGCTCCCATAGACGTCTATGAGGAAATGACTCTACTTCTCTGTAGTGACCAGCAGGGGGCGACTCCTCTGCTCCCATAGACGTCTATGAGGAAATGACTCTACTTCTCTGTAGTGACCAGCAGGGGGCGACTTCTCTGCTCCCATAGACGTCTATGAGGAAATGACTCTACTTCTCTGTAGTGACCAGCAGGGGGTGACTTCTTCTGCTCCCATAGACGTCTATGAGGAAATGACTCTACTTCTCTGTAGTGACCAGCAGGGGGCGACTCCTCTGCTCCCATAGATGTCTATGAGGAAATGACTCTACTTCTCTGTAGTGACCAGCAGGGGGCGACTCCTCTGCTCCCATAGACGTCTATGAGGAAATGACTCTACTTCTCTCTTGATTTATTCCCTCAGTAAACGTTGTAAACATGAGTTTATGGTCTCAGTCTCTAGTTTCAAGTCTTCTTCAACACAACATGACGCTCGTTTAGAAAATGATGGTCCATGTAGTCAAACTGCTTTGGGGCGGGGCTACCTTGTGATTGACAGGATGCTAAACTTTAATCCTTGCCTTATACTTAGCCCCGCCCCCTCGTGTGGCTTCTTTTCACAAAAAAAGACTAAATGGCGACGGACAAAATACAGAACTCCAGGATTCAACACAACAGTCCACAAAGCAACGAGTGACGTCACTGCGACCGCATCAACTTTATTCGACTTTTGGAAAGTCTGAAAATAAAAGGTTGGTGGAATAAGTCTGAAAAGTCACGCGACATTCCAAAATAAAAAGGTGGAGATCTTCACAGTAGTGATAGAAAATACACAACTGAGGGGAAAGATCTTGAGCTCCAGGCTGGAGATCAACAGTGCAGCGAATGAAAACAGTCAAACATCATCAAGTCGCTCCACGGCTCGAGATGGGGAATCCTTCCTTCTTTAACATGTTTGGCTATTTCTTTTTTTTTTTCTTTACAAAGATGAATCCCAGTTGGTTCCAGAAAAAGATTATATACTGTGCTTTCTAAAGAAACATCAGGCGCATTAAAGCTGCAGAGTAATTAAATCATGTCCTTTCATTGGGGTTAAGCCACATCCAAGCCAACAGCTCTTAACTGGAACCACTTGTGTGCTTTTTATTGGTAGTTTTCCTACAATCCAAACCATGTCCTCCCAGGCGGCGTCCCGCCAGCAGCGTGGAACCTCAACCAATCCCTTCGGTTTCATTCCGCTGCTGCCATGACACCATGACACGAGGCCTCGAGGAGTCGGGTCAAAGATCACCATTGGGCTTCATTGGCTTTGAATAAGGAGCGAACCACCAATCAGCACTCAAAGAAACATTAAACGGTTCAAAGGAGATAATGTTCATGTGCATCAAGATAAATGTTTAGAAATGTACATCTCATTAATCATTTAAATGATGTTTAAAGCGGTGAAGTACTTTCTTTATTGAACATTTTTAAATGTATGTTAATCTGCAAACATGAAACCAGGTTTATAGCTTGTGTTTTCTTTGCGTTTTCTTCCAAATAAGAGTTTTTACAGAGTGAGTTTTGTATCTCTTTATATCACTCGATACATTAAAACAATATCCAAGAACTCCCCTGTAGAACCTCCAGAATCCAGAGAGGATGTAAGGAGATCTCAACATGAACCTTCACCACTTCATCGCCACATTAAGAGGAGCAGCATTTATTGAACGAAACAAGGAGTCTTTGAGCAAGGCACTCAACCTGCACCTCTTCCCGGGAGCTGCTTTGAGCTGTCATGAAAGCGGAGGATACCAGCACCACCCCCCCCCCCCCCCCCTTGAAAGAAAGTTGAGATGTTGTGCTGGATAATGAGCCTTGTTCAAGTCCTGGTTTGCTGAGTGTTTGCTGATTTAAATGTGTCCGTCTCTTTTGATACCTCTTCGTTAGCTGCTTATCAAACATTTATGAGCTGACATCACAGATCTTTGGAGGGCTTCGGGGCGAAATCAACAAACACAAACAACGAGCAGCAGAGCTTTGACAACGTCAGTGGACCAGGACGCACACGTGTGTCTCC